AGGCAGCGGCTATTTGCACTAAGTGTAAATAGCGATAGAGGCTATTTACACTAAGTGCAAATAGCAATATTTGCTATTTACACTAAGTGTAAATAGCAATTAGATGCTATTTACACTAAGTGAAAATAGCATATTTTCTTAGTGATAGATGCTATTTACACTAAGTGCAAATAGCAATGGATTCTATTTACACTAAGTGAAAATAGTATTTTTAACAATATGCTATTTACACAGTGCAAATAGCGATAGATTCTATTTACACTGTTAAAATAGCTGGACTTTCTGCTATTTATACTACTTATTGCAAATAGTGGCAATTATCTGCACCTCATTATTATAGTACATTATAAAACAGTATGCAGGAATAACGTATTGAGTGTAAATTATAATTTTAATTCAAATTATTAAATGGATGACACCTTATTGGGACAATACAGCCCTCCCTACACCTATCCTAAACCTACCCGATACTTTATTTTCAACTTGATTATTTCCTTCATTTTTATTTAAAATAATTGCCTTTCCGATGTGATATGAGATTTGAAAAGGGAGAAAAAAAAGTTCGGTAAAAGGCGGATTCGAACCCGAGTCAATAGCGTCAAAAAGACTACAGTACACACGTTACCATGTACCCTACACGTACCCTAACCCTACCCGATACTTTATTTTCAACTTTTTGATAATTTCCTTCATTTTTATTGAAAATAAATGCCTTTCCGATGTGATATGAGATTTGAAAAGAGAGAAAAAAAAGTTCGGCAAAAGGCGGATTCGAACCCGGTTCGATCTCGTCAAAAAAACAAAAAAGACTACGTTACGCGCTTTACCATCTACGCCACTGGAGCTAACAACTGATAGCCGTTTTTTTATAGTGTTGACTAGCCCGATCACACGTTTGTGGGTGGAGCTAGTGTAAATAGCCTCTGCCAACAAGGCTATAAATAGACACTCCGATAGATTAAACAACTGTCCTAATGTAACATCCTCTGCTCTACCATCTGAGCTATCGAATGTTGATGAGTGCCATGACCCTCACAGGAACACGTCAGAGATACAAAGATACAGAGATACAGCGTAGCCACACACTCACCCACAAACTAAGTTGATTTGGAGCAGTGAGCTGACCTGCCGTGAACCGAGCAGACAGCAGCTGTTCCAGTGTAGCCAGCATACCCGTACTCCAGCTGAACCAGCCCTAAACAAATCAATTCCCACCAACCAGCAGGAGCAGCCAAACTCAATCCAATCAATCTGAATTAGAACTTCAAATACTGCCTATATGAGGTGACAGCACTACTGTTTGCTTTTGATTTGACATGCATATCTTCTCTGACTTCGGTCAATTTGGATTACGTTTACTTGATTTAATGTTGCAGAACGAAGCAACAAAGCCTACTGGTTTTGGGTTTTATTTAAAATTCTGTCACGGTACGCTGATGCTGTGCGTGAATCAGTATGGCCTAATTACAACTCCAGTGATTACTGTAAAGTTTAATTAGCGGAAAACAAGACATGGCACAATGAATTCCTCCCCAGATCCCCACAGAATTTCAAGAGTTCCATTTTCCCTTCCCCAAAAAAACACAAGTCTCTAGTGTGTTTGTGCGTGTTTCTCTCTATGCTTTGGGTCAGTTATTTTGAGTAGGTCTCCTGAGGCTAGAAGCAAAGCTTATCCTTTACTGAACCTCCTGTTTAATTCTGACATTAACCCATATGGACTGGAGCTCCACAGTAGTGGGGATCTGGATTCTTCTGTTACACAAACTGACAGTCTAATACACTATGTTTTCTGCATTATCCAAACCACCAGGATGGTGATCAGGGCCGTTTCTAGCCAATTTGACGCCCTAGGCGAAATCCCTATTGCCCCCCCCCGAATTTTACTATACAAATATTTTTTAATTGGATGTTAAAGTTTATATGGGAATATTACATGACACGCTGATCCTTTAACAATGCATTGGCGCAAAAAACGCACACCTTTTGGACAAATCTGCCACAAATATTTTGACAAATGTGCCACAAAAGTGTCACAAATACTGCCTAAACAAAATACTGATTTTGTGCACTTTATTTACTGTACCAATATTTTAAATTGGCCTTTGAACTTAGCTTTATTGCATGGCAAAAAAAGGTGTTACCTTGCCAAAGCACTGACAGAGCCCACTGATCTAATGGCGTTGTTGAGCGCTCCAAATGCAAACTTTGCATGCAACAATCAGGCAGCAACTGACAGCACTCTGATCTAGTGGCATACAGGCATCGTCAGATTGACAGTACTCTAGCCCAATAATGTTGGGGGATCCAGTGGGGGCAGCAGTCATATTTCAGGGTGACCGTGCTACTCTTTATCACAACCCTGCTAAAAGTGCCAGTACGTGCGCTCATTGGCGCCCCTTCAGCTGGTGGCGCCCTAGGCGACCGCCTAGCTCGCCTATGCCTAGAAACGGCCCTGATGGTGATTAAGGAAAAAAGGCCAAGTTTAGCACCCTTTGACACTCATACACTCACATGCAGAAGGAAAACAACTCACTGATGCCACCTTATGGACCATTTGGGCCATTGCAAAGGGGGGTTAAAGGTTATCATGGTGTAAGGACAAGAGAATATGTTACCTCTATTGCCACCACAATGAGGATCATCTGAGTCTCTGATTCAGGGAAGTACGCTTTCACTTGTGAGGACAAACCAATCAAGGCACAGTTGGTCACCACTGAGATAATGCTCATCGTCTCGAATGCCAACTGGAAGAATAAAAAGATCAAATGTTAGTTTTGTTTGTGTGTGTGTGTGTGTGTGTGTGTGTGTGTGTGTGTTGTTAAATACAACTAATTGAAATAAAGTTTCAATAAAATAAGATATAAAAATGAGATAAAATACTAAATACTTCAATTTAAAAAAAAATAAAGTTTAAGTTGTAGTATTAAAATGACAAAAACCTTTTTAGAAATAGAAGTAGAAATATTTAAATAAATTAAAAAATTAAATAAAAATGGCAAAGGCACATAACAATAATACTAAAACTCAAAATAAAATGAAAACTAAAAATCTAATTGAAAATATTAACAAATACTCTAATAGTACATAAATAATACTGAAATAACACTGGTGTGTAAATATATAGTACCATTTAAATGTTGGGACAGACTTGACTACTGTACATGTTTCTGTACATTTAGTCTTAATAACTTTAAATGCTTAAAATTATTTTTCATATACATGTAAGTGGATATCAGATATATAAGAGAGATTAGTGTGGTTGTTTTTTGGTTATGCATAATGTCTGCTAATCCACTAATCTTCCGTATGACTTGTTCTGGCTAGTTCTGACTCATAGGTATTCTGAGTAATAGGATGAAGCATATCTGATTAAATAAATAAATGATGGAATTTTACATTTGATACTTCAGTACATTAAAAACAAGTACCTTTGAACCATTTACTCAAGTAGAACTTTAAAGTAGTACTTATATTTTTACTGGAGCATTTGTACTTGACTTGTACATGTACTCAAGTACATGATTTGTGTACTCTGTCCACCACTGCGTGATATCAATTTCACATACCCTTTTCTCTGAATACGAGTATAACTGAGCCAAATCCTTCATTCATGGGCCTTCACACACAATGTAATTCACCCAACAATGAAAATCCCGTCATCACACAATATTATTATCACACTGCTTCAGATAACCATGTACACTACTATTCAAACGTTTAGGGTCAGTAAGGTTTATTATTATCATTATTATTATTTATTCATTCAGCAAGGGCACAATAAATTGATTGTTACAAAAATCTATTTCAATGCTGTTCTTTTGAATTCTGGGGAAAATGTATCATGGTTTCCAGAATTTTTTTTTTTTTTTTTTAAATAATTGTCAACATTGATAGTAATAAGAAATGTTACTTGAGCACATCAACATTAATAATAGGAAATGTTACTTGAGCACCAAATAATTAGAATGATTTCTGAAGGTCAGTGTTTTATGAAAAAGAGCTGCTACTAAGACTTCTCTCAATTTCTCATGTTGTGTTCCACAAACAGCATATTTCCTTATACAAGGTCATAAATAAAAGTAAATAATAATAATTTGTTATTTTTAAACGAACTTTTATTCAATTAATATTAAAGAAAGAAGGTCGTATTTTTGATTGCTATTGTTAAAACAACACTTTTTTCTGGATTTATATTTAACACAAACATCCAGATGACAAGCTGCATTATCATTATGATTGAAATAGTCATTTTTACTGTTTTTGAAGTTTGTCAGATTATACCCTGCATTGTACATTTCTTATGTCTCTTAAGCTTTCTTTAAAGTACAGTAAATTATCAGGATGTGAGGCTTTCTCATGAGGTTTTCTCACCTGCCACACCCCGATGTTTGCTGCTGGTTCTGAGAAGGGACGCTTGAAAACATGGCACATCTTGAAGGCGTCAGAATAAACCTCAGTGATGTTGTTCAGCACCACCAACACAGCGGCCAGCGGATACACACAGGAGAACAGACTCACATAGCCGAACAACAGGAACTGCTCGAGGTAGTCGTCAAATGTGCCCTGATGACCAAAGTTATTTCAGAGAGATTCAGTTTTAAAGGTCAGAAAGGAACGGAAATGGTCATGTAAAATTTAAATGATGACTGGTTTTGGTGCAAGAAGAAACCTTGACTAACATTTGAAGTGGACTTCAAAAGAGTGTATATCCTATGTGCTGGTAATTATATAATTTTCACAGCTCAAGGCACCCAACTGATCACAGTTACTGGAACCTACCAGATAGGTGTTCATTTCGGTCTCCAGCTGAACTTGTTCCAGCAGGGGGAGCTCTTTATCACCCATCATTCTCCTCATCCTCTTATGGACTTTCTTGTTCCTCCTCCTCTGCAGCCAGTATGGCAGGAAGGCCTCCATCACTTGATTCAGGATTTGAGAGGTGATAAGCAGCGTGGCCAAACTCTAATGATACACACACAGAGACAACCATAAGGCATCTTGTAAAGTTGTAATTAAGTCATTCAACTACACTTGATTTATTGCTTGTCGAAGCAGCTGAGTTTTGTGTGAAATACTGACCTGTCTCAAAAGCACCATATCTTGCATGACAAAGGCAATATAGAAGAGAGAGGCAAAGCAGTTTACAAAGTTAAACTGGAAACAAACAAACAAACAAAAAAACAATAATTAAAACTACATTTTCACTTGAGAAATTTGCATAATTGTAATAATGCCAGGGTTCTCACATTTTAGACCACTGCATTTCCACTACTATCCAATTGTTTATAGTCAAATACAATGATACAGAGACTCAGTGGGAACCCTATATTACAGGCAGAAATATATTTACAAGAAGTAAAATAAAAAATGAAATAGTTAAACCTGCCGTTATAAGACTGAAGATGTGAATGAACAGACAAAAAACTTGAAAGCATACCACCAAAACCTTGAGCACAAGGTGATTTTGAAATGATGACTCCAGTCTATGGTTTTCTGAAAAATAAAATACAAGGAATGCGATTTACTTCCATGTTGGAAGGTAACATCTAGAAAATAATTGTTGTGAAATAGCAATTAGTGTGAGGCATTAATAGCATTTACATTAAATTATGGCAAAGTCACACAGAAATATGATTTAGACCAGTGATTCTCAACTAGGGGGCCAAAAGTATTTAAATAAATAATAAATTATTAATAATATATTAAAATAATCTAACTCTAATCTACATTAAAATGTTAAAATTAAAAAATCAAGAAGATCTAAATATAAACTGAAATCATATTTATTTTTGTTTTCCCTCAATAACTATTTCTTTTAATGAACAACATACGGTTCTGGAAAACAAAACACAACTTGCGGAATCGTAAATTGAATAGTTAATTCAATATATAAATTAAAAGTCCAAAAACAGCTTTGTCCTAAATTACAGCAAATATTCCGGAAATAGGGGGGATTCCTTCAAATATTGTATTGGACAATAAGGTGCTATTGAAAATGTTGAGAATCACTGATTTAGACTCAAGTAAATTTTAGGTGATGTTCCTGGTAAAGGCACTAGACACCTCAGGGTTCTGATGAAAAAAAAAATTGTGACTTTATATATCACAATTACAATTTTGTTTCTTTCTTTTTTATTTATTTCTCAGAATTGATACTTTACATGTCCCAATAGTGACTTTAAATCTTACAATGCGACTTTAAAACTTCATCTCACAATTACCTTTTTTTTTTTTTTGACTGAGGCAGAAACTGGCTTGCATAAGATTTAGTTTAAAGCTAACTGTTATTCTTTTAGAAGAAAACAAACATAACCCCAGGTATTTATTCAATACAGTGGCTAAATTAACAAAAAATAAAGCACCAACAGGCATTAACATTTCCCAGCAGCACAGCAGTAATGGCTTTATGAACTACTTTAAATCCAAGATCGATACTATTAGAGATAAAATTGTAACCATGCAGCCGTCAGCTACAGTATTGCATCAGACAGTGCACTATAGATCCCCTGAAGAACAATTCCACTCATTCTCTATTATAGGAGAGGAAGAATTTTATAAATTTGTTAAATCATCTAAACCAACAACATGTATACTAGACCCTATTCCATTTAAGCTCCTAAAAGAGGTGCTTCCAGAAGTCATAGATCCTCTTCTGACTATTATTAATTC